TATTTGGCAATAACCTAAACAGTAATTGATTTACATTTACTACTATATTTTTCTAGAACTATACGCACTATACGTATAGTACTGATCTGCCCATCTCTAGCTGCAAATGTTTGATATTAATTAATTAAAAGTTATCTTAATTAATGTGATTCACATATAATTAATATAATACCTATATCTCTTCAAAACCAATTTTTGCATTGTACAACAAATGAGATGTCGCAGACAACTCCTTTAATACCAATTCTGTTATCTCCCGGCCCTCTGTATAATTGATAAACAATAAACAATAATGAGTATAATGCATCATCATCATCATCAAAGAACTCGACAAATAACTCAGTAAAAAACACTCGCCCATTATGTTCATGCTCAATCCCTGCATCCCTTAATTTGTTTACAACTGCAACAGCTGGCAAAATAGTAAATTTTTTTAAAAAAGATTTTTATAAAATTATTTTGAAAAAAAAATTTTTTTTTAAATTATAATGGGAATTATATTTTTATACTACCCTTTTAAGAATAGGTTAATAAATTTTAAGAGTCTAATAAATTTCAAAATGATGTCATGAGAAAATTAATTTTGCCTATATAGTGTTAGCAGTCAGTGTGCAAATCCTTTCTCTTTTTTTTTAATTAGTGCGTATAACATTCACTTGGACACCAGAAGTTTCTTTTAACACTTATAACACATAATAATTATATAGGCGGGTTTGATCGAAGTAAGTGTTAGACAAGATCTATGAAGCTTGCAAAACGAATGTTTATCAATTATTCAATAATTATATAGGCGGGTTTGATCAAAATAAGTGTTAAAGACAATTTATACATTTTATATATTATTTTATAATAAGTATTTTACACATTATGTACATTATACACGGGATCAAAAACATACTATTACTAGAATCTTTTCAGTATTGGTACTAATAAGACTTACGATGAAATATATATATGTTAAAAAAAATGAAAATAAAAAAAAATATATACAAGAAATTTTTAAATCTATTAAGTCGACCAACGACTACATCTAATAAATCTATGCATTGAATCACGAACCGGAAACCGAAAACAACTCATTTAATATCGATTCCCTTGTCTCCCGGTTCTCTGGGTAATTGATAAACAATAAACAATCATTATCAAGAAGAACGTTCACATTAAATAATGTGGCCACGAAGAAGCTTTTCGTGTATCCTATTCGCCATAAATTCCAAGTGCCCAGGCATAACTCAGGAACATCGGAAACTGAGAAGAACCAAACCGTGGCCACGAAGAGCTTTCAATTCCCAGACATATTACACCTAATGGCAGCGTAACTTCTGATACGCAACAACTCGACAAAATAACTCGGTGAGAAACACACACCCTGTATGTTCGCGTTCAACCTTAGCTTCTTTCAACCTCCTAACAACTGAAAGTTCGAGTTTTTTTCCTTATCAAAGATCTGACAACGTAGTGAATTTCTTAAATGTATTTGTAAAAAAAAAAAAGGTAATTAATGTAATTCACATATATAATTGATATAATACCTATATCTCTTCCGATCCAATTCTCACATTGAATCACAAATGAGATCTTGCAAATGACTCCTCCCTTTGTCGACCGGTTCTCTGGATAATTGATAAACAATAAACAATAAACAAGAATGAGTATAATGCGTCATCATTATCAAGAACGTTCACATTAAATAATGTGGCCACGAAGAGCTTTCAATTCCCAGACATCTTACACCTAATGACAGCGTAACTTCGGATACACAATAACTCAACAAAATAACTCAGTGAGAAACACTCGCCCTGTATGTTCGTGTTCAACCTTAGCTTTTCTAAACCTCCTAACAACTGCAAGTTCGAGTTTTTTTTCTTCCTTAGCAAGACCCGACAACGTAGTGGATTTTTTAAATGCTTAAATGCATGTGTAAAAAAAAAAAGGTTAACTTAATTAATTAATTAATTAATGTGATTCACATATATAATTGATATAATACCTATATATCTTCAGATCCAATTCTTACATTAAATATCGATCCCTTTATCGACCGGTTCTCTGGATAATTGATTAACGATAAACTAGAATGAGTATAATGCGTCATCATTATCAAAGAACCAAGAAGAACGTTCACATTAAATAAATAATGTGGCCACGAAGAGCTTTTCATTCATAGTTCGTGTATCCTATTCACCATAAATCCCGGTGCCTAGGCATAACTCGTGACCTTCGGAAACTGGAAAGAACGTTCACGGCCAAAAAACCGTGGCCACGAAGAGCTTTCAATTCCCAGACATTTTACACCTAGTGGCAGCGTAACTTCAGATACACAACAACTCAACAAAATAACTCAGTGAGAAACAATGCTCACCCTGAATGTTCGTGTTCAATATCAGCCTTCCTTAATTTCTTGACGACAGAATTTCGAGTTTTCTTCCTTGACAACGTAGTGAATTTTCTAAATGCATGTGTAAAAAAAACTTAATTAATTAATGTGATTCACATATGGGTCTGTACTAGGAAAATCGACCTTCCAGACAAAAAATCTATTTTTGGTAACAACCCTTATAAATTTGGTTACACATATGTTTTTAATATACAAAGAAAATATTACAAGCCTTGTATCTCATTTTTCTACTATGCAAATAGGGTCCAATTTTTTCACCAATTGTAAATCCTTTATTAGAGATTATTATTGAGTAAAAAGACAAAAAAAAAAAAAATAGCTGGAAGCTT